AGGAGTGGCCCCTGGGCTGGCGTGGGAGGGATCTGCAGGCACAGAGCCTGCTGATGAGACTGAAAAGGAGGAAGAGAACCTTCTGCCAAATTTCTGGATCCCTGCAGGGAGATTTTGTCCCTGTTCTTATTTTCCCTGCGAAGCCCAAAGGGGTGGGACAGCTTTTCTTAGGGCAGGGTGTGGGGCTGAGGGTGATTGTTGGAGCTTTGCAAGCCTTTGGCCTTGCTTTGTGCCCCAAGGCAAAGGCATCAGAAAGCATGGAATGGGTTGGGTTGAAGAGACATTAAAGCCCATCTCATTCCACCCCCTGCCATGGGCAGGGACACCTTCCACCAGCCCAGGCTGCTCCAAGCCCTGTCCAGCCTGGCCTTGGACACTTCCAGGGATCCAGGGGCAGCCACAGCTTCTCTGGGCAACCTGTGCCAGGGCCTGACACCCTCACAGACAGGAATTCCTTCCCAATATCCACCTAACCCTGCCCTGTGTCAGTGGGAATCCATTCCCTGTCCCACCAGGCCCTTATAAAAAGTCTGTCCCCATCTTTTCTTCCAGGCCCCCTTTAGACCTTACAGACACAGCACGGTGTCCCCAGTGTCCCTGTGCCTCACACAGGTAATAACAGGGCTCACACAGGTAATAATCAGCGACTCTGTGGTGCTGCAGATCCGTGAGACTCAGAGGACTCCATCTGCCACCAGCACCACTGGAGCGTGTCCTGGGAATGAGGCCGTGCCAGACCCTGGGTCTGCTCTATCCCATTTCTGGGGCTCTGCCCATGGCTGCAAGTGCCACATCTGATAGGAAATACAGAATCCACCCCATCACTGAGTGTGGCAGCCCCTGGTTGAGTTTGGGGCTGCTCAGACTGGGAGGCAGCGTGGTTTGGACCGTGCCTGGACGGGCCCCAAGGAAGGAGAAGTCATCCTCCTTTTTTTAGTTATGTAACTTCATGTTTTGAAACACAGAAGAAAGGGAAATACTGTGGAGCCAAACAGCTGTTTTGGGAGATCAAGGGAACAGGATTTGTGAAAATAATTTGTCTCTGCATGGTTTATCACTTAATTTTTATTACAACCAGCCACTCAAATGCACTGGAAGGTGATCTGAAACCCTCTTATCCAAGCTTCCTGCACGGCTCCAGCCTTGATTGCAGCCCCTTCAATCCCACATTCAAATATTCATCACATTTAATTGCCTTATTCCTGTTTTGCAGCATTTGGGTTGTTGCCTTCGGGGTGAGTCTGAGCCTCACGCCAACCCCGCAGCCGCCTGTGCTTCCCCTCCCATCCCACCCCTCTGTTCCCATCTCCTTTATTGTTCCTACCACAAACCGAGCTGCAACTCATTTGGAATGCCATGGATAAATGAGCATTTTACTGCCCTGCCACCTCACGTAAAGTAATTTGATGAAAAGGGTTAAGCTGTGTTTTATTAAGTCCAATAAAGCGGCTTGGAAAAGTTTTGTCCGCCAACCCCAAGCGCTCCCCGTGTCTCCCGAGTGCCTTGGCGAGGAGTTTGCTTATTTAGCAAGAGGTATAAACCCAGCAGGTAAAATCCCTGAGTACAAATTCCTGCAGAAAGTACAAACGTGGATAATTAATTACATAAACCCACCACAGCCTGTGCTCTGGGCAAGAGGTGCTCCCAAAATGCCTCTCCCCAGAGCAGGGGTCCATCCTCCTCCACCTCCTGTCGCTCTGTGTGAGGCACAGGAACCCACAACCTGCTGTCCTAGGGATGGAGAGGGGTCAGTGGGGCTGTTATCCCACACCATCCCACATCCCTGTGCTGGGCAGACTGGGCAGGACCACTCAGGGTGGCCATGGTGGGCAAGGGATCTTTGTGGCCACCACAACTCATGGCCAGGTCCTCCTGCTTTGCTCTCCATTGGGGTTTATCTGGGACTGTGGGGGTGCTGGGGTGTTGGCACACTGATTATATCCCTAGGAATGGCTTCCCAAATCCCATGAAGGGCCAAAGAAGCCCACGGGTCAGGGCACTGAGGATGTCCCCAAAGGAGGAGATGTGGGGGAGCACTGGCAAGAACGAGCTCCAGGCAGGCTTTGTGAGTCAGATGTTCTGTGTGTATCTAAAAGGGAGCCCTGGAAATTCATCCCAGTGTCCAAACCACCCCTTCGGTGAGAGATTCCTCCACTCTCCTACAGGCAGGTGGAAAGGACTCATTAGGGCTGTGGCTTCTTTTAAACCTACATAAAGATCAGGATCTGTCCCGACCTTCTTCCCAGACCTCAAAATCCCACCCAGGCAACGCAGCGGGATGTCCCAACCTACCCTTCCGAGCCTCTCCCTGCTCTCAGCCTCCCATCGATTTTGTGGGGACACCAGCAGAGGTGCAGGTGGTGGTGGACGATGGAGCTTGGGCTCCCAGGAGCTAGATCCCACCCTGAGTGGTCTGTCACCAACCACGAGCTCCTGTGGGGATCCATCAGCAACCACAAGAATTCAGGACCTGCCTCTCAGTCTGGAGCTTTGGGTGACACTGGTGGGTTTTCACTGAGTGAGGGAGCAACAGGGTTCCATCAGCCAGGGAAGGTCTCCCCTTCTTCCAGGAAGCATAGTGTGGAGTGGGATCAGGGGCTCCCAGGGACTGGACACACCGCCCAGTTCCCTTTTATTCCATGTTTCTGCTCCGCTCCGCTCGGCCCATTAGCCGAGGCATTAAATTTTAACATTTTTTTGTTGCTCCTTGCAGCCTGTTCCTGGTGAGTGGGTGCCTGGGTGGGTGCCAGGGCTCTGGCGCCACACTGGGGGGACCTGGGGGACCAGGGGAGTCTGGCTGTGGTGGGGGTACCCACCTGCATCCCACGGGCAGGAGAGGGGCTCCCAGGGACCAGCAAGGAGACAGGATCACTGCAAACACTCTGCACAGCTCTGGAGCCAGGCTGGGACAGCTGGGGATGTTCTGCCTGGAGAGGAGAAGGTTCCAGGGAGACCTCAGAGTCCCTTCCAGAGCCTAAAGGGGCTCCAGGATTGCTGGAGAGGGAGTGGGGACAAGAGCCTGGAGGGACAGGACAAGAGGGAATGGCTTCCCACTGCCTGAGGGCAGGATTAGATGGGATATTGGGAAGGGTGGCAAAGCCCTGGCACAGGCTGGCCAGAGAAGCTGTGGCTGCCCCATCCCTGGAAGTGTCCAAGGTCAGGTTGGACGGGGCTTGGAGCAATCTGGGCTGGTGGAAGGTGTCCCTGCCCATGGCAGGAGTGAGATGGTCTTTAAGGTCCCTTCCAACCCAAACCATTCCATGATTCTGCGATCCTATGAGATGAAATTGGGATAAACTGCCCTCCAGGTCGGTTCCATCTCTCCCATGGGGGGGCAGGACCCAGAGCAGCACGGCTGGAGCTTTCTGGTCATGAGGAGTTAAAAAGCCATCAATTTTTGCCATTAGTTGGAGGTGTGGCTGGAGCAGAGACGCTGCAGGCAGAGCCATGCACTGAATAATTCAGGGTGAGAGATGACAAAGCCCATGGGCCAAGCTGGGGAAACTTCTCCATGTCCTCCTACTCCCACTTCCCAAGGACATGCCCTTTGCTTCTGTCCCAGGGTTCTGGATGTGGGCTGGGGTGATGGACCAGATTTGGGTCTCAGGGACCTGGGGGACATGTACTGGTCCCTGAGCTGGTCCCAATGGATGGATAATGGTGAGTTCATGGGGCCTCGTGGCCACCTGGGCCAGGGTGCTGGCCTGGCTTGTCTGCCTGGAGCAGCTGGACCCTGCTGGCTGGGCTACCCTGCATGGTACCAATGGGCCCTCTTGGGGCAGGGAGACCAACTGTGGGGCAAAGATGCCACTTGTGGGGCACAGACACACACGGTGGGACAGGGACACCCCTCACAGGGCACCATGGTGCTCCTGTCATGTGCCCTGCAGTGGGGAGCAACCCTCCAGGATGGCCTCCAGGATGGCTCCAGGATGGCTCCCAGGCCATTTACTCCACCGTTGGCAGGGCACAGGGCACCCACAGGCACCCAGGCTGAGAGATTTCCCCCCTGGTTGTGCAATGTCTCCTGTGTCAGAGCCTAGGAAGTCAGCCGGGCCCTGGGGACAGAGGGATGGGTCCCTCGGTGACACTCTGTGCAGGGGGTGGGTGGGCTGAGCGTGCCAGGTCTCAGCCGCAGCACTGGCGAGCCCCGAGGCAGCCGCCCGGTGCCGGGAGAGGGCGATTGGAGCTCGGGCAGGCGGCAGGCGAGGAGTTAACTCCCAGCCTCGCCGCGGGAGTCTGGAGCTATTAATACTCGCACGCTGGTTTAGCTGTCAGAGCGAGCGGCTGCTCTACCGGTGAGGCGAGCCCCGCGGAGCCGCCGCTCCACGACCACACAACTTTCCTCCTCCATCAGCGTGTTGGGCTCCCGACCCGGCCGCCTGCCCGGCGGACCCTTCCAGACCCCGCTGGATCCTGCCAGAGCCCGCTGGACCCCACCTGCTGCGGGGGACACTTTTCCCACACAGCGACACGGGCACCGTCCGCCCACGGGTGCCACGGGGCAGCCGCGTCCCGCGGCCTCTGAAGCACCGCGGGGCTCGGACCCCTCGCCCGGGTGATGCCATCCCAGGTGCCCGCTCGCACCCCCTGAGGGATGGCCCTGCCGCCGGCCGGGCCGCACGATGGGTGCCGGGGTGGCACTGGGCACGGTGAGCCCCGGAGCGAGGGCGACGCGGGACATGACCCAGCCCGGCGCTGCCTCCGCGCCCGGTGAGCGGCCGGTCCCGGTGCTCAGCCCGGCCGTGTGACGGGCTCCCCGACACCATGGCCCCGAGAGGGCCAGCGTGAGCCTCCGGCCACCGCCGGCACCGGCGAGGAAGATGCCAACACCCCTCCGGCACTGCGTGCCCTGCGGTCCCCATCGCCCGGGCACGGCGGCCGCTGGAGCCGAGCGATGGATTCTTTCTGCTTCGTCTGCTTCCAGAAAGAGGAGCTGCAGCCCCTGCACCTGCACAGGTCAGTGCCACGGATCCCGGGACACCACTGGCGGGGACACAGCGCCGCTGGGGCCGTGCCATGGTGGGGCATGGCATGGGAGCAGGGCACCGAGCCGGGCTGGGGGACAGAGCCTGGCATGGGCCATGCCAGAGTTTCCTTTGGAGCAGGTGCATCCTCTCCTGGCCGGAGGAGTCCAGAGCCCCGTTCTGTGCCGTGCAGTGCCGGGAGAGGCTGCGGTGCACGGCACGTGTGTACATCTGGCATGTGCTTCCCTTGCCAGGGGAACCCAGTGGGCACCCTGTGCCATGCCATGGCATGCTGGTGTGCTCATGGGAGCGGGCCTGTGGGCAGCGATGTGCATTCCAGAGCTATCCCGAATCCCTCCTGGAGCCATCCCACCCACTCCTGCCCACCTGAGCAGGGTCCCTGGCCAGTCTCTCCTCTTCCCTGGCTGCCTGGGGCCAGGGGCCCAGAGCAGTTCGAGGGTCCCCAAGGACAACCACGAGGCTCCCCACGGCCCGTCCCTCTCGGCAGCAGCAGCACCAGCATTCGCCTCCCCCTTCCCCAAAACCTCCTCTCCCATCGGCGCTGCTGAGCGGCAGCCAAGGAGAATGTGCCGGTGCTGAAATTAGCCGGGCAGCCGGCGAGGATGCGAGGTGTGAACGCTGGCACATGTTGTGCCCAACTGCTCCTCTGTGGCACTGAGCCACTGCCGCCTCCTGTCCCACGCCTTCATGCCCAGAGCACAGCTCCCACCTGCTCCAGCCCGGAGCCTCCCAGGCACTGGCTGCCCATGGTGAGGGGCTGGGGGGCGGCTCAGGGCCATTGGGCTGTGGGTGTGGGACAATCCAGTCCTTCCTCACGGTGTGCACGGAGTTGTAGGAATCGTTTTGGTGTAAATCCTGGGGTTTTGGAGCCTTGGTTCCCATGAGTCACTGCCCAGGCTGGGGGGATAGGGAGACCAGGGATTGAGACGGGCCTTGGGTGTGGGTGCTGCTGGCTGAGGGATGCACAGAATTCCCAGGGCTCCCACCCCATAGCCCAGCCTGGGGCTGGAGCTGACCGGCAGCATCCAGATTGTGCTGGGTCACAGGTGTCACGAGTTTGTTGTTCTCAGCCACAGAGGGAGCACCCAGGGTGGCAGTGTGGTAGCCCAGAATCCTGAATGGTGGCCACAGGGACCACCCCTCCTTGCACAGGGGGATGGAGAAGGAGGAACATCCTTGGCTTGTGCCTGTCCTGCCCTGCTCCAAGGTGGGGCTACGCTGGGGGAGCCCCTGTGTCTGAACAACCCCCTGGTTGTCACCAGTCTGTCCCTGAGCCTGTCTGCATCCCGTGGCGACACGGCTGTCATTGCATGTCACCCCTTGGGTGACCAAGAGGTGCGCTCAGGGGGTGCTCCCCGGTCTCGCCACCTGCACCAGGGGCAGTAAGTGCGCCCCACGCACGGGTGCTGTGGCAGCATCTGTGTCCCCCGTCCCTGTCCCCACCCATGTGTGTCCTCCCATGCCTGTCCCACCCCCGTATCTGTCCCCCCGTGCCTGTCCCCGCAGCCTCTAGATGGTGCCAGGAGAACAGTCTGCGAGCGGAGGCGGCCGGCGCCGTGCGGTGCCGGATGGTGCTGGGTACCGGGGTGCCGAGGTGTCGGGGTGCCAGGACAGACCCCTTGGCTCTCCCCGTGCCCCCCGGTTCAGTCCCTCCCTCTCCCCGAAGAAACACGTCCTGCCTCTTTTCCCGGGAAACCCATCCCAAAGAACCCCCTTCTGTTGCCCTCCCGCTGCGCAGCCATCACTGGGCTCCAGAGTCAACACCATTCCCAAGCTCCCGGCCAGTGCGGCCGGCGCTGCAGGTCCTGACCCAGCCTGTGCTGGGGGACCAGCCCGCAGGATGCTGTGCCCCCCGCCCGCCTGCTGGGGTCCATCTCATGTCCCCCGGGAGCACGGCCGGGCCCTGGCGCTCTGAGGAGAGGGACATCACCCCAAGGGCCGCGGGCGGGGGCTTGGCGTGTGCCCACCACGCAGCTGCGCTGCCCCCCAGCTCCTGGGTCGTGTCCCTTCCGTGACCTTGAGAGCAGCCGCTGGGAATCTCATCCCGGCTGCCACCACGCGGGATGGCAACACACGCGTGGGGGGAACACCGAGGTGGGGGGCACTGAGCCCCCCGTCCAGAGTCCGGGAACAAGCTCCCATCACTCCCCTTTACCCTGGAATTCCCCGTGGATGGGCGCTGTCCCCAGGGACGGAGTGGGCACCCAGAGCCCCCGACATGGGTGCTGCACCCCGGGCTGGCGGGGTGGGGGGTGTTCGGCCCCCAGCCGGGACACGCCGGAGCCCCCCGGGACCAGCGAGTCCCCTTGGCCGAGCTGCGGCTCCCGGCGTGCTCCGCTGCCGCGGCCGCCTCCCTGCTTCCCTCCCTCTCCTGCTTCCCAGCATCCCCGCAGCAAACCCGGCAGGTTTTAGCTCGTGTCACCGGTGCGTGACAGGCTGCGGGTGGCAGGCTGTGGGGGGCTCAGCCCCTCGGCTTCTGCTCTGACCAAGCGACGCCGAAGGGACAGCCGACTTTCTCGCTGAATTCCGAGGGGGTTTGGCTCGCTGAAAAAAATTTGGGCTTTCCAGGTCATTTCCCACCACCCACCCTGTCCAAGCACATCCCATGGCACAATTCCCTTTCTGAGCAGAAATCCCAGGGACACTCGTTGTCCCTCGGGGAGCTGGGGGGATCTTCGCGCGGTTTGGGATTGTACGAGGTGATAAACACATTTGATCTGGTTCCTTTCATCTCGTTAATCTTAATTAGTTATTAATATTCTGGGAGTGCTTTGAAGGCCACAAGCTCGATGCAAACGCTCCCTGGTACTACTGGTGTTACTATTACTCAGTGTGTGTGTGACCCACATGCTGGCACGGGCACGGGCTGCAGCCTGGAAGCCACAAAGGGAGCTGACAAGCCCCAGGGAGCTCCACGGAGTCCCACGGAGCCACAGGGTGCCCTCTGGAGTCCTGCTGAGCCCCACGGAGGCCCCTTAAGCCCTATGGAACCCCAGAGATCCCTGCAGAACTCCACAGAGTGGTGGTGATAAGCCAATGGAGCCCCATGGAATGTTCCACAGAGCCCTGCTGAGCCCCACCAAGCCCCATGGAGGCCTCCCAAGCCCCACAGAGCCCCACGGAGTCCCACAGAGGGAGCCCTGCCAGGCCCAGTTGGTCCCTCACTGGCAGCTCGGGCTCTGTGTACCTGAGCACAGCACAGCCCCATCCTCAGCACTGGGGTGGTGACACTGTGAGGTGATCCATGTGTAGGACCTGTGACACCATCCCCGCAGCCCGCCGTGGTCCCTGGGCTGGCTCCCTGGGCACTGGCACCTCCCACCTGACCTAGAAACAGCCCTGAGCTATAAATAGGGCGGGAGCCAAAGGAGAGCTCAGAGGAGCAGCCTGGAATGCTGCAAGCGGGAGGCTGCGGGAGCTGGAATGGCATGGCAAGGACAGGCAGGGGACACAGGGTGACATGGGACTCGGGAAGGGGCGAGGCTGGCCCCACTCCACCCCTAGCAGCCCATGGAGTGGAGTGTGCAAGGAAGGTAGGTGTGGCTTCCACCGACCTGTGTCCTGCTGGCCCAGTGGCACAGGGAGCACCGTAGCTCTGCTTCTATCTCCCAGAACTTTCCCTTTTCCCAGCACCTTCCCCCCATGACGCTCTCCTGCCCTGTACCACCCCTTTCCCAGCCCCACAGCAGCTGCTCTGGGCACCATCAGCCCCCATCCAGCCCACCCTGGCTTGCTGGGGCATTGGGCTCTGGCATTTCCCCTCTCATACCACACAGATGCCCACATTCAAGTGGGGATCTCCCACACTTGGAGCATTCGAGCCATGGGTGCTAGAGCAGGGACTGGTGAGTGGAGGGAGGTTGAGGGAACTGGCACTGTGAGCCACAGCTGCCTTTCCCAGGGCCCAGACCCTGGGGCCAGCAATGCCCCAGGCACTGCCAAGCGGAAAGGGGTGACAACAGCACAGCCGATCCCGACACAAATTAAAGCACAGTGTTGGGAGTGTGATTCACCCTCTTGCTTTAAAGTCATTCATGAAAAAACTCATTGCTCTGCATCCTCTACAGGAGCAGATCAGAGCCAGCAGTGAGTCAGTGCCAATGGCTCCCTGGCCCTGTCCAGAGGTTGGGTGGCTCAGGGACAGTCCCAATGCCAGCAGAGCGGGCACAGCTGGTGTGTGGGAACAGCTCACTGCCCCTCTCAGAGCATGAGGAAGCCCCATGGCTGTGGGTCAGGTCTAAGTGGCATCAGGGGAGCAAAGGGACCTGCCACCCAGCTGAGAGTCAAGCAAATTGTGGGCTGTGTTAAATGCCCGTGCTCGGCATCTGTGGGGACAAAAGGAAATGCTGGAAGAGGAGATGTGCCCAGGGATGCTCCAAGGAGGAGCACAGTGCCTACCCCTCACCTTCCTCCAGAAAAGCTGTCACTGTCCCATGGCCTGGAGGTACCTGGAAGTTCCTGGTGCCCACCTCTGGCATCGCTTGCTGAGTGTGTTGCCAAATTTAAGGAGGCTGAAGGAAAGCCCCTGTGATGCCTTTGCCTCAGCTGGTGTTCCCTAGCTCAGCCCGAAGGGTCCTGCCATCCGTGGGAAGCCTCATGTCCTGCATGTTCTGAGGAGCAGCACTTGGGGAGCAGCCTGTGCTATGGTGGGGCATCACCTGTGCCGTAGTGGAACAGATTGCCCACAGAAGCTGTGGCTGCCCCATCCCTGGAAATGTTCAAGGACAGCTTGGATGGGCCTTGGAACAACCTGGTCTAGTGGAAGGTGTCCCTGTCCATGGCAGGTCCCTTTCCATCCAAACCGTTCTGTGACTCTGTGATTCAGGGTGGGCTTACCCACACCAAGGTGGACGTCACCTGTGCCAAGGGAGAGGGACCAGAGCCTTGGAGGGCTCAGGGATAGATAGCAGTGCCCAGGGGACCAGCGGGCAGCAGGATCAGTTCTGCGCCTGGGCATTCCCGCTGCATGCTGCCGGTGCTGCTGACCCCCATATGCTCCAAGCTTGGACTATCAGGGTCCTTGGGTGGGTTAGGGGTGTGAAGCCGACCCCTTAGGGGTCCGTGGGGCACCGGTCTCATCTTTATTGTCCCCGGCCCCACGGTCTGCTCCGTGCCGAACCCGCGGCACCGGAGCTCCGCACCCGGTGGGGAGGGAGCGGCTCATCCCTGACCCCCCCTCTCCAGGGCTACTCCCGCTCTTAATCCCTTCAGCTACATGGAGGGCGGGGACAAGCAGCGCCCCGCATCCCTCATCGCGCATCTCCCCATCCCCGCGGGGCCGGCGGCGGAGCTCCCCGCTCCTCCCGCTCCGCGCTCCCTCCCCAGGGCGGCGCCGGTGCCGGTGCGGGCGGAGCGCGGCGCGGGGCGGGCGCTGCCGGGGGCTGCGGGGGCTCGGCTCGGCTCGGCTCCGCTCCGCTCCTCCGGCGGCGGCGGCGGGGCCGCGGCATGAGGAGCCCGGCGGGGCGAGCGGCGGGCGGCAGCGGCGGCTCCTCTCCCGCCGGGGACGGGGCGCGGCGGCGGCGGCTCGTCCCTCCGGTAAGGCGGTGCTGCGGGGCTGGGGGCGCGGGGCTGGGGGCGCGGGGATGAGGTGGGGCGATGGGGGTGCGGCTGTGGGGGTGCGGAGACGCTGCCCGCCCGGTACCGAGGCCGCCCTTTGTTTGCCCGCACGGCGCTGGGAGGGGGCAAAGCCCTCCTGCCGGTACAACCGGGGCTCCGGGATGAATGGAGCGGGGGGAGGCACCGCGCGGTGCCCCCGGGGATCGGCTGACCCCCTCCCCCCGCATCGGGTCCCTCCTGCGGCCGATGGCACCTGCGCTCCGGGCGGCCCCGGCACGGCGCGGGGGGGACGAGGAGGAGGGACGGGGACGGCGGGGCGTGAGTGACACCGGAGCGGAGCCGGGGCCGGGGGACCGAGGGGCTGGTCCCCGGGGGCTCCCGATGAATTTTGGGGCGTCTGGAAGGATGAGCTGAGGTGGAAGGCAGCTGGAAGCAGGGGAAGGGGAGAGCGGGGAGAGGCGGCCTCGGGGGCAGCTCAGGCCATGTCCCCTCGTGTCCCCTCATCACCTCCCATCGCTTCCCCTCATTGTATCCCCTTGTGTCCCCTCATCACCTCCCCATGTCATCTCCCCTTGTTTTCCCTCATGTTCCCTCATCTCCCCTTGTGTTCTCTCACCAGCTTCCTGTGTTTCCTCTTACCTCTCCCCTCGTGTCCCCCCTCATGTCCTCTTGTCATCTCCCTTCAAGCCCCCTCATCATTTCCCCTCCTGTCCCCTCACTATCTCCTCACTGTGTCCTCTCTTGTCCCCTTGCCATCCCCCCATGTCATCTCCTCTTGTGTCCCCTCGTGTCCCTTCATTGTGTCCCCTCATGTGCCCTTGTGTCCCCTCATCACCTGCCCTGTTCCCCCTCTGATCCCCCCGTGTGCCCCCATGTCCCCTCAGTGCCGGTGCGGGCGCGGGCCCGGCCTCCATCCCACACCATCCTCTCCCCGGCTGCGGCGGGAAGGGGGAGCGTGACCCACTTTCCTCCAGGTCCGGCCCCGCTGCCGCTGTGGCCGCGGGCAGGCGACGCCAGCCGGGAGCCCCACCGCGGCTCAGGGAGCGGGAGCGGGGACAGGGGCAGGGTGGCCCAGCCTCAGCACCCCTCTGTGCCAGAGCGGCATGGAGGTGTCACCCACGGGGAGGTGAAGCTTAGGGCTGGGCGCCCACATGCCGAGCCCCCGACCCGCCCGGCGCTCGGAGCGTCCCTGAGCTGGGTGTGCCCGTGCCCTGCCCGGGATGCTGTGGGAGGAGACGAGGCACGGTGGTGGTGGGAGCATCCTCCTTCACGGGAGCGTTCCCAGCGGTGGGAGCCGGGGCTGAGGCACGGGGGATGCCCATGGGGCACACAAAGGCTGGGCAGCCTCATGGGAGTGCTGTCGGCACTGGTTGTTGTGGTGGGGTGATGTGCCCCCATTGCCCCCGGCAGCGAGCAGGGCTGAGGGCCGGCTGGCCCTGCCCTAGGGACCCGGCGGGCAGGCAATGGGCAGGTGCCGTTCGGGGCATTTGTCTTTGCAGATCCCAACCGTGCGGTGCTGCTGGCGCTGGTGGAAGAGTTTTGGGAGGGAGATGATGACAGGCTGATGAAACCAATCAAACAATGAAGTAATCATAAATCCCCGGTGCCGGCGGTGAAGGCGGGAGCAGCTGGAGGCTGGAGGAGCTGAGGTCCTAACGAAACCATCCCGCTCAGCAGCAGAAATCCCGGGAGGCCGAAGCGCTGAAAGGTGGCCAAGGTCCTGTCACCAGGGCCGATGGACAGAGACAGCACAGCACAGTGTGCATGAGGGCAGGGAAAATTCTGCTGGCAGCTCCAGAGGAGCAGTGCAGAGGGCACGGAGGACAGCAGCAGGAAGGAAGAGTGGTGGATCCCCAGGAGCTGTCAGAGGAGAGAGTTCTGGTGCTGCTTTGTTTGCTCTTCACAAATTTGCCTGCGAGACCTGAATCCTGGGACCAGAGGCTGAGGAATCTTGTCACAGGCTGATAGTCAGAATGGGAGATGGATCCCGCAGCGGGAGACCCTATGGATGGGTGTGACGGGGCCTGATCCTGCCCCACAGCTGGGACGTCCACACCAGGAGAGCAGCTCCTGCCAGCTGGGAGCCTGCACGTGCCTGGGTGTTCCCTGGCTTTGCTGAAGACGGTCCTGCTGCTGAGAAGGCTGCTGTAGTCTAGGCAAGGAGCTGGTATGAGAACTGTTGGATAACTTGGAATTCAGTGCCAATTCAGTCCCAGACTGGGGTCAGTGGGAAGTCCCAGTTGCTGCAGGTGCTTTGGTGGAGGTTTGGTGCTGGTTTGGGTGGAGTCAGTGGTGCTCAATCATTTCCCTGCGGAGCCAGCTGGAGAGCACCTAGATGTGCCCCATCCATGGCCTCTTTGGGAGTGGCTGCTCCTCCCAGGCTGTGGGGATGCTGGCAGAGGGGCTGTTCCCAAACTGCTGCCACAGGCCGGTGTCCCTGAGCCACGTGTGACCAACCACTTCCTGGACATACTCGGCTCATCCTGAGTGGTTTTGGATGGTCCCAGGCTGGCAATGGGTGAAGGAACCCTTTCCCTACGTGTTTTGCTGCTTTGGGCGGGGTGGGAGGCAGTGGCTGGCCCGGGTGGAGGCCGGGGCAGGTACCAGAGGCTCCGAGTCCCCACGAGGTGCCTGTCCCCCCCCCGTGCCTGCAGAGATGTCCTCGTTAGGCGAAGGTGCCTTTGCGAGCCCTCCCTGGGCTCCCCCGTGCCACGGCCCCCAGGAAGCACAGCTAATATCTGTTGTGCGGGTCCCAGCGGTGCGGAGGAGAGGAGAGGATGTCCCTGGAACGGGGTCAGGCAGGAACGGAGGCAGCGGGGTCTGGAAATGGAGCGGGGCGCAGGGGAGGCAGCGGCTCCACTCGGGGCACAGCCAAAGCACCACTGGCCCCTTGCCCCGGTGACACCCCAGCACCAGGGTGGTGTGGGAGCAGCAGGACCAGGAGCAGCGAAGGGCCAACCTCTCTTGGACGTGACTTTGCTGGCTCAGTGGGTAGTTTGGGGAAAATAGGGGAGGTTTGGGAGCTGGTTAGGGTGTGGAGGGAGGCAGCTTCCTCCTGATGGCTGCCTTGGCCTCCAGCCTGCTGGGCTTGGAGGGGAGTCAGTGTTACCTGCTAATAACTAAGGATTTGGGGATGGCAAAGGGAGAAATCAAAGCTCTGCCAAGTACCTGCCAAGTGCAGGGACAGAGCAGTGTGGGCCTGTGCCCATCCCACTGCTGCATGTTTCTCATTTCTCCCCTCTTTAAAGAGAAATTGGGGTCTTGCCAAGGCCCTACCCCTCATAGGTTTTCCCTTTGTTTTCCCAATTCCTTTTCCCAGAGCAGCCCATGTTGCAAGTCCCATCCCCTGGCCAGACTTCCAGCCCTGCACTGGGCTCAGCCCAAACCCTTTTCCTCTAACCTCCCTCAATAAATGGGTTGTTTTTCTGTCAGTCTCCGCTGCGGCCAGAGGGATTTTATTTTTCCCCCTTTCCCTCTTAATTTCCAAGCAGCTGCTGCTCCAGCAGCTTCGTCTACGGGAGCCTGGGGCAGCTCTCCCGGGCGTCCTCTGCTCCTCTCAACGAGCTCCTAATGAGTTTGCAATTAGTTATCGGCAGAGCTGATGTGCCCAGGGCTGGGAGTGCAGTGGTGTGGGATGTGGAGCAGGATGCAGAGCAGGGCAAAGCATCCCCTTCCAAGGAGTGGCATCAGAGGGGGAATGGTTTGTTAGTGCTGGCCTCAGCACCTGGCAGGATGCTGGGCTCTGGATGTGGGATTATGTCTTCCCGGGATCTGCTCTGTGATGTTGGGGATGGAGCCGGGAGGTTTGGGAAGAGGAGCAGCAGCTGCCGACGGAGACGAGTGGCTGCCTATAAATACCTGCCAGGGAGCAAGGAAGAAGTGGGTGGATTATCCTCCTCACTCAATGAGATAAACGGTTCTGAAGCTTAAACACAGAACAATTTTAGTCTGAATAGTAGGAGAAACGGTTCAGGATGCGGAGATGACGGCAGGAACCGCCTGTGGTGAGCGGCAGGTCCCGGTGCCACGTGGCAGCAGCTTTGCTGCCCCTTTGCCATTCCCTGGATCTAGAGCAGTGGGGGCCTTTGCCAGGACTCAGCTGGGATGTGCATCCTTACTCCCTGCTTGGGAAAGCTGCTTCAGGAACATCCGAAACAACTGAGTTGGGAGGAGGCGGGTTTGGCTTCCTTTGGGCACGGTGCTCTTCCAGCGTTTAGGGGTAGGAGAGGGGCTGGTGTGCCAAGAAAAGGCCCCATTTTGGCTCTGGTGACCCCATCTGGCACCTTGGTGGGCCTGGCCTGGGCACAGAGGGCAGCCAAAGATATGAGACCTCAACCCCAGCTGTGCCAGGCTGGTGGGATCCCCATCATCTCCCTGTGTCCCGCTGTTCCCCCATCCCAGCTGTCCCTGGGAGCGTGCAGAGCTGGAAATGAGCCCTCGCTCCCCCCTGCTGCTGCCCCGCTTCGCTGCTCACATCAAACCCAACATGTTTTCAAAAGCATTTCAATTTTTAATGAAAACTTCTGTGTTTACGCTTTCCCTGGTCTCGGCACATTGGTATTTTGGTCACCGCTGCTGTTCGGTCTCTCCCGGGATCGCTGATGGCTCCGTGTTCCGGCAGCCCTGGCAGAGCGGGGGGTGTTGTGTGAGCCGGCACTGCGGCAGGATCCCGGCAGCATCTCCAGCCCTGGAAGCACACCCCGTGCCAGCTGTGCAGACCCACATCACAGCAGGGACACCTGGCATGGTGGGATCTCTGTTTCTCGTGGATGTTCCTTGGTGGATGGCCAGAGACACCTGGAAACCCCAGCAGGTTGAGCCAAGAGGAAAAGCAAACGGTCTTTGACTTGGAAAGCACTCCCATAACGCATCAGTCCTTCCCCTCCTCTCTCCCATCCAACCAACAGGTTTTTTCCTGAAAGCCCAACTTTGCTGACTCGAATAATTGCATTTCAACACCGGTTAATTAAGAGACATCGATGAGCGTGATTGTAAACCCAAGTGTAGACGGAATTCTTCTTGCAGGATGCTGGGGGCTGTTTTCAGTCCTGCCTCCAGCAAGCTGCTGCACCGATCCACCTCCACCTCCAGCACCCAGACGCTGAGATGGTGCTCCTCTGCCAGGAGGCCAATGAAACACTATGGAGATGAGCTGCTTTGGAGATCTTATGAGTCAAACTGTTACATTTTTGGAACATCATGATGTTGAAGTTCCTTTTCTATTTTTTCCCCAACTTCCCAGGGAAAAAAAATATAACTATAATAAGTGAAGAAGCTGAGCTTTGCTTTGGGATGAGAGGCAGCACGGTGCAGGGAAGGGAGGAGGAAGAAGTTGGAGATCAGGCTCAGTCTTGTTGGGAAAGGGTTGGGTGTGATCTTGACCCTGGGGGGTGATGGAAGATGACGCAGCACCCTGAAGACAGTGTGGTGAGTGACTCCAAGCTCAGCTCTTGTTATGGGGATGGTCAGAGTGAGGAAAAACACTCACTGGTTTGATGGGAGTAAAGAATGTTGGTGCTGTTGTCCAGGGACTGCTGGCTGGGCCATCCCTTGCTCCGCTTTGGTGAGGTCCCAGCTGGAGTGCTGTGCCCAGCTGAGGGGTCCACAGCACAGGAAAGATGTGGATCTGTTAGAGCAAGTCCAGGGGAGGCCACAAAGATGATTATTTGGATGGAGCACCTCTGCTATGAGGAGAAGATGAGAGAATTTGGATTTTAAAGCCTGGAGAAGACTCCAAGGAGACCTCAGAGTCCCTTCCAGTGCCTGAAGGGGCTCAAAGAGAGCTGGAGAGGGACTTTGGACAAGGGCCTGGACTGACAGGACAAGGGGGAATGGCTTCCCACTGCCAGAGGTCGGGGTTAGATGGGATATTGGGAAGGAATTCTTGGCTGTGAGGGTGGTGAGGCCCTGGCACAGGTTGCCCAGAGAAGCTGTGGCTGCCCCTGGATCCCTGGAAGTGTTGAAGGCCAGGCTGGACGGGGCTTGGAACAACCTGGGTTGGTGGAAGGTGTCCCTGCCCATGGCAGGGGGTGGAAAGAGTTGAGCTTCAAAGTTCCTTTGAGCTGAAACCAGTCTGGGATTCTGTGATTCTCTGAACCAGAGCATCCATCACCTTGGCAGGAGAAGGCCAAGAGTCAGTGCTGATGGATAGTCAGAGGGATGTGGCAGAGCCATCATATCCCACTTGGTGCCTGCAGCATGGCTCTGGCTCTGCTCTGGAGTGTCACTGGCCTGTGTGAGGCTCCGCTCTGGAGGGGACTGCAGTGGTGGAGGGGACAGGGCTGGCTGCCAGGGTCCCCACTGAGGACTGTGGCACCAGTGGGGAGCCCCTAAAGGCCTCAATGCCCATCCTGTGTGGTGGCTGTGAACACACCAGGGCTGAGGAAACGTGTGTGTGTCCATGTGTGTGTGTCCATGTCCCTGCCCTCCTGTCTCTGCCATGCCCTGAGCCTTCCCTTTGCCCCCAGACATCCCCCTGAGTTGGTGGCACAGGGACCACTGACCCACACGGCTGCAGCCCCACGGAGACTGCAGCAATCCTGTCCACAGCAGTTTGGTTGGTGGCCACAGGGCACAGAGGGGTGGCACTCAGTGAGGGGTGCTCCAGCCCTGGGGATGGGATGGGATGGGATGGGATGGGATGGGATGGGATGGGATGGGACACGGTGGCTTTGCAGCACCCACCGAAACGCTGCCCCTGCTCTGCCTTGCAGCGCAACCATGAGCGCGGGTTCGATTGAGCAGGAGCCGTCGCGCAAGCTGGCCTGCTGCGGGGTGCCCCTCATCACCGAGGACATGCAGTCCCTGGCCATCCGCACCCTCTCAGGCACCGACATCAGCAAGCACTACGACCTCATCCGCGAGCTCGGCAAGGGCACCTACGGCAAGGTGGACCTGGTGTCCCACAAAAGCACAGGTGAGCGGAGCGGGGGGCTGTGCTGGGAGCAGAGCGCCTGGCACATCCCGACCGAGCCCCGGGCTCACCTCCATCCCCTGCCCTCTGCAGGCACCAAGATGGCCCTGAAGTTCGTCAACAAGAGCAAGACGAAGCTGAAGAACTTCCTGCGGGAGTTCAGCATCACCAACACGCTCTCTTCCAGCCCCTTCATCATCAAGGTCTTTGACGTGGTCTTCGAGACCGAGGACTGCTACGTCTTCGCTCAGGAGTACGCCCCCGGCGGGGACCTCTTCGACATCATCCCGCCACAGGTGAGAGCCCCCGCCCCGCCCACGGGAGCCCTGTTGGGATGTGGGGGCTCAGCATCCCCAGGGCACTCAGCAGAGCTGCTGTGGTGCTTTGCTTTGCTGCCTGTGTGGGAGGGGGCTGCAGGGGCCAGGACTGGGCAGCCCTGTATGGTTCCTGAACAGAAGCACCTACAATCAATTCTGGGACCGATCACCCATCCCCTGGGTGGCTGAGATCCATCATCCATCCTTAGGGTGACCTGGGACCCATCACCCATCCCTAGGGTGATCTGGGTCTTGTAATGCATCTGTAGGATGGCCTGGGACTTATCACCTGTCCCCTGGGTGGTCTGAGAGCCATCATCCATTGCTAGGATGTCCTAAGGCCCATTCCCTATCCCTGGGGTGGCCTGGGACCCATCACCCTTCCCTTGGGGAAGTTGTGGCTGCCTGAACCCTGGAAGTGTTCGAGGCAGGTTGGGTGGGGCTTGGAGCAACCTGGTCTAGTGGAAGGTGTCCCTGCTCATGGCAAGAGGTGAAATGAGAGGGTCCTTAAGGTCCCTTACAACCCAAACCACCCTGGGATTCTATGGGGACTCACCACCTACCCCTCAGCTGGACCAGGACCCACCACCCATCTCCCTGCCTCAGAAAGCCCCCAGATAAAGCCATCCATGACCACGCTGGGTGGGTAACAGATATGTGTGGGGTCCCCGAGCCGGGTGGGAACACCCCGGGGCTCGGTGGCGGGTGGCTGACGCCGTGTCTGCACAGGTGGGGCTCCCCGAGGAGCTGGTGAAGCGCTGCGTGCAGCAGCTGGGCCTGGCCCTCGACTACATGCACAGCAAGAGCCTGGTGCACCGGGACATCAAGCCGGAGAACGTCCTGCTCTTCGACCGCGACTGCCGCCGCGTCAAACTGGCCGACTTCGGCATGACCCGCAAGGTGGGCTGCCGGGTCAAGCGCATCAGTGGCACCATCCCCTACACGGCGCCCGAGGTGTGCCAGGCCGGCCGGGCCGAGGGCTTTGCTGTGGACACCAGCATCGACGTCTGGGCTTTTGGGGTGCTCATCTTCTGCGTCCTCACCGGGAACTTCCCCTGGGAGGCGGCGGTGGCATCCGACGCCTTCTTCGAGGAGTTTGTGCGGTGGCAGAAGGGGCGGCTGGGGGGGCTGCCCTCGCAGTGGCGGCGCTTCACGGACAGCGCCCTGCGCATGTTCCAGCGCCTGCTGGCCCTCGACCCCGAGAAGCGCTGCCCCGTCAAGGAGGTTTTCTACTTCATCAAGTGCGACCTGATGGCCGAGGTGCGGTGCCGACCCTCCTACCGCTCCCGCAAGCACACCAGGGACAAGCTCCCGGCCGGCGCCCACTGCCACGAGGCCGCCGGCTCCTGCACCCCTGCCCCGCTCAAGAGGACCGTCCTGACGGAAGGGAGCGGAGCGCGTGGCCCCGAGTCCGGCGCGGCCGCCCCGGGGACGGCGAGCAGGACAGATGGACGGCAGGACAAAGGCAAAGGGCAGATGGTCCTGGCCACAGCAATAGAGATCTGCGTCTGACGGCGCCGCACGACCCGTCCTGTCCCCCCGCCCCGCCAACAGGGGTGGGAGGAGCTGCTCGTGGTGGAGGCACGAGCCGGGACCGGGCTCTGGGTCTCCCAAAGCAAAAAAAAAAAAAAAAAGGAAAAGAAACACAAACAAAGAGGAAAAGGACAGAACTGGTTGCGCTCCGTAGCGCCGAGGATGCCAATCCCCCCGCCCCGCCTGGGTGAGGCCGGCAGCGGGAGCCCAGCCCAGGGCACCAGGGAGGACAGGGGTGCCCACGGTCCTGCCATGGCCACGCTGCCCCTCCAAGGCTTCCCACAGGGTGGCATGGGGAGAGGTCTCCCAGTACGGGGAGGAAGAGTCGGGAGGGCAGTGGATGGGAGGTCCGGGGCAGGCAGTGCCCACTGGCCCTCCCCCACCCTGTGCTTGATCCCCGGGCTGGGATTGGGAAGGCCAATGACCCCACACCATGGAGGAGGCCTTTGGGGAGGTTTGGGTGGGTGATGATTTGTCCCCTTCCACCAATCCCTGCCCCACTGGTGGGGACCGGGAAGGGATGAGGAGATGGGCACCGGGCTGGTGATGGGGAGCTGGGGGGGTTTCAGGCAGCCCAGGACCCCTGGCAACCCCGGCTGCCTCCCTGTGCTGGGAGGTGCTGGCAGCCATCGATGTAGCAAGTGTCCCTGTCTGTGTGTCATTGTGTGTCCCACCACTGCCACTGGCAGCCTCTGTCCCCCCTGCCCTGCCCCACATGGCCCCAGACCCCACTGGAGGGACAGGTCCCTCCAGCCGGGAGCTGTGCTCCGGGCTGTGGCCCACGGCCACGGCGCCATCCAGCAGGTTGGATGCTCAGGGCCAAGCTGGCAGTGCTGTAGTGGCATCTCTTTGTCCCCTCTGCAGACTCTGTGTCCCCAGGGACTGGAAGAGGTGGCAGCAGTGCAGCCCCAGGCTGGCCTGCACGCCCCAGGAGGAGGGGAGGGGGCTCTGAGCAGCCTCTGGAGGGCCAGCCTGGTTCCCTGTGCTCATCCCATCACCCCTCCTTGCTGTCACCCCTTCCCCAAACTCTGTCACCCTCCCCTGGGGCTGGCGGGGAGGAGGCGGTGGGATGGATCCCCGGGGCTGGCTGCAGCGAGGCAGGGGGTGGTGGCAGGAGCCACTGGTGGTCCCTTAGTGAAAAGGTCACGGGGGTGTGTGGGGGACACCACTCCCCTCGTGGTTTTGGGCACCCAGTGAAGTTGGGGGGCTCACCTGGAGAGGGTGGGGGGCACCCCACGGCGGCAGCACTCTGGTGTGGTTTGGGCTTCCCTCCCATCGGGTGGGCGCCGCGGGGACCCTCAGTGCCCCCCGGCGCCGCAATCCCCGCACAAAGGGCTATCCCGCTATTCAGCAGCAGCAGCAGCAGCAGTTTACAGAGCACGGGCGGACCCCCCGCCCCCGCTGCTGCCCCCAGGGCCCCTCCGCCCCCGCCCGCGGTGCCGGGCCCCGGGCGGCCTTAGAAGTAGCATTGCCCCTAAGTAGAGACGCTCTAGGCACCGGTTTTTTCTCCTTTTTGCCTTAGGTCCCTCGATGTCCTCAATCTTTCGTGCAATAATGTAGATAAGGGATCCCGGCCGCCCCGGGAGGGCTCGGCGGCGCCTCTCGGGGGGGGCTCGGGGGCACCTCCCAGGGGATTTGTCCTAGGGGGGGTGCCCCGTGTGATTTCTGTCCCCGTCGAGGTCGCTGTGTCGGTAGGTTGTCGGGTTTTTATTTCCAGTTCCCTCAGCTGTCGGGTTTCAGTCCTTCTTCCCGTAGGAGAGGCTGTAGTGTCACAGACGTTACCTCAGTTTGTCACTGTTGAAAAGGATTTAAAAAACAACAACAACAAAAAAAACCACAACTGAAACCATAAAAAAAAAAAAGACAAAATACATAGTTATAAAAGCAACAAAAAAATTCTCAATGGCGGTGAAGATTTTTTATTAAATAAAGCAAAAGTGATGCTGCTTGTGTGGGCAGGGAGCACCACCTCTGCCTGGGGGCTCGCTGGGCCCCCACTTTCACCAGGTCCCCTCCATGCCCGGCCATCGTGGCCACCCCCGGGTGGGAGGGGAGGGGCACGGGGAGCAGCACCGTGGGGCAGGGTGGCAGCACCCATGGGCGGGGGGCACCGAGCTGCCCTTGGTGCAGCCCCCTCCGAGCAGCCAGGGCTGCCTGATGCCAAATGTATTCCAGCCACGTCCACAGGCTAATTTCAATTTCCTGGTAATTATGCAAATGAATGTGGATTTAATTAAGGGCAGATTTCATTAAAGGCTTCTTGGGGAAATGAGAACAGGATGGGGGAGAGCGAGGAGGAGGAGGAGGTGGCAGGGAAGAGGAGATGAAGGCAGCGCCTGCCCCGGAAGATAAATAGTCACAGGGGATGCCGAGGGGATGGACGGGATCCCTTGGGAGTGGGGGTCCCTCTGCTCCCTGCCACGGGACCCCCAGAGCGGGGGGCTCAGGGTCCCCAGCCCAGAGCAGGGGCCGCGTGGTGCACAGCTGGGAGCAGTGCTGGGATGGACCCCGGGAAGATGCAGCTCCTCGGTGCATTCCCAGCCCCGCTCCAGGGACGGGGCACCGAGCCCCGTTCATCCACAGCTCCAGCAGCGACGGCTCTTGTCTCCTTCCCTCCCGTCAGGGGCAGGGAAAGCGTTGCTTCGACACGTGATTTATATTTCTCTCTTCCCCAGCTAAAAATACAGATTTGGCCACGACAAGAGGTCTAGGAAATCAATGTCATTGTCACCAGGCGCTGGCTGGCAGGACCCTCCCCTCCCCGATGCAGACAAAAAAAGGGAACGCTGCCATTTGACGTCCCCGAGCCGAACCTCACGCGGCTCCAGCGGAGCTGCCTTTAATTCAAACTGAAATGGCTAATTTTATCCCGGCAAGGTCGGGATGCTGAGCCTGGCAGCGCCAGGAGGGCCAGAGCTGCTTGTCTCCAGGTGAAACCTTCAGACCCAAAAAACGTGTCTAAAGTTTACCAAGCCACCACCTGCTCAGCAAAACCATCGCCTGCCCAGCAAAGCCAGCACATCCCTGCACTACCTACGCGTTTGCTCCCAGGTTTGGCCAGGAAGGCAACTGGTCCATGACCACTGACCTTGGGCAGTGCCCAAGCAAAGGATGAGCAGCACAATCACTGCTCTGAAAGGAAAATAACTCCTCGATTTGTACGGATCCCGGAGGACCGGAGGGAAGAGGCGCAGGGTGGCAGGTGTGGAGTGCCGTGGGTGTGGGCCTGGCTGTGACACTCAGCTGCTGAACCTTCCTCTGATTTCATCCACCCTTTGATTCCAGAGCTGTGTTGTGCCCGGTTTTGCTCAGAGACACCAAGTGAGGCACTGCAGCCCCAGCTAAAACACCCGGGGTTGAGAGTAAAAATAACTGTGAATGATCTGCTCGTTGGGAGCACAATGATCCATGCCAAGCTGGCACTGCAATAAGTCCCACCCCAATCCCAAGCAGGTCCTTTAAAAGGTAATGTTTTGCCACTGAGACGGTGCTCCAGCTCCCCACTGACTCAGGAGGGGCTGTGGGATGAGAAGTGAGTTCCCACGCTTCCCAAGCCGGGAGGGGAGCGCAGGCTCTGGGCTGACGGGGCTTCCCTAGCCTGGCACAGGGACATGGGGGGACGTAAGCCTGGCGTGGTGAGGATCCATGAAATGTGCTTCTCAGGGCTGATCCGCTTCCAAGAATTTCCAAAAATAGTGGCAGCACCAAGCTGGAATGGGCGTTGGGAGGAAATGTGACTCATGTGCCACCCGGCACCCCAGCGGAACCGAGCACAGGGCTGAGCGGGAACGCTGCAGGGACAGGAGCTGGGGGAGGAGGCACGAGGGCATCCCGATCCCTTTCTGGTGGCAGCAGAATGCCCATGGAGGGGATGCAGCCCAGGCTCATCCCTGCCTGTCCTTCCCTCAGGGCCCCTCTGCCGTCCGTGATTCCAGCGGCTGGGGATGATGGACAGATGTCAGTCAGAGCCTGGCAGCTGCCAAGGGCCCCAGCGGGGATGAGCTGCTGGAGCCAGACAGCAAAAGCTGTCCCGAGGTGGAGAAAAATCCAGCCTGTGCCACGTGAGACGCCTCAGCAGGGCCACAGCTGGTGGAAGAAGGGAGAGGTGACCTTGTGTGACAATCCAGCCACTTTTGGGAAGAGGGAGAGCAGAGCTGGCCGCATCTCCAGCCCAATTCCATCACAGCCAGCTCTCAGGTACATCCCTGCCCGGCGGAAAGAGCCCTGTGAGCATCCCCCAGGGAGCAGCTCTGGGCCAAACCCTGCCAGGTGTTAAGTGCCTTTGCTCCAGCCTCAGCCAGCCGGAAGGATTCGGGCACAGGGAGAGGAAAGCAGGGCGCTGCAGGCATCTCTGAACTGGCTTCGTGCTCCCTGCAACGGGTTTGGACACATTTTTGCATCCAAAGGTGTTTTATCCCCGTGGAAAACCCAGTGTTTTCAGCAGGGTCTTTTAGCTGAAAGACAGGTGGGTGTGTCAGCTCTTGGGAGGAGGGGGTTGATGGCAGTTCTGGGGTGTGGGGAGATGCCAGGGCTGAAGGGAGGGGATGGAGAGCACCCCCAGCCCTGCACACTCCCCCTCCACCCAAAGGGGTGGGTTATGGGCTCCAGCTCGCAGGTCTCCCACGTTGCCATGACAACAGCAGCATCCCAGCCTGGCAGGGATGGGAGATCTCCTCCATCCCACCACTGCCTTGCCCAGACACGGGTCTGGATGCCAGGACAGGCAGCACCCCTGCCGTGCCTGCTCAGGGTGCCCGGGCCAGCACCCCAAGCCCCCAGAGGAGCACAAGGTGCTATTCCTGCTGACCACACTCCTCCTGATCCTGCCCTTCTTTCACACCCCTCCAAAAGCCACAGGGCTGCCAGGGCAGGGGCAGGAAAGGGTTCTGCTCTTCAGGTGAGTGTCTTCCCATTCCAAAGCCCTCTACCTGCTCCAGCTTTGCAGGATCCCGGCTAGCAGAGCTTCCCTCTGCCAGCTGCAACACCCCCAGGCTGCCCCCAAACCTCTCCTGTTCTCCCCAGGGGTGGCAGGGTGGGCAGTGGCTGCCAGATCGTGGATCCTACTCCCCCAGTCACCCCAGATTTGGGAGCAGCAGAGCCAGGGGTGTCTCTGGGGTGGTGTTGTCCCTCACTAATCAGAGCATCCTCATGGGCAGCTCTCGCTCTCTGCAGCCTCCCAGCTCCTCAGCTGTCAGCCTGACGAGCTCCAGAGCTAAATCCTCCCTGCCATGGGTGACACCAGGCTGGGGAGAAGTTAAGCTCCTCGCCTCAGAGGCTGCTACACCTCCAGAAAAGTTGTGTTTGAAAAGCATTAATACAAGATTAATCGAGGCTTTAATGAACAGCAAATCAAGTGCTAATGGAGCCCAACTTGTAAGCCATGTGTAACACCTCAGGGGCTTAAAGGCATCCAGAACATGGTTGGAACATGCTTACAGGGGGAGTTAATCACCTTGTAGCCCTGAAGATGCCACATGGGCAAGAAATCTTAGGGGAAGAGGCTGCAGAGGAGCCAGGAGTGCTGCCTCACCCCTCTGAGCACTTCAGAGTGGGGGTTTATAGGTGTTTCCCCCACCCCAGCTGTGGCAGGAAGGCAGGCAGAGGAATTTGGGTCACCTGAGTGTCTCTGGGGCTGGAGCAGAGTCAGGAGCCTGGCAAAGAAGTAAGGCCAGTTTATAAGGGATGGCCAGATCCCACCTGGAGTGTCGCTACCCCCAGTCACGGAGCAGGGGCTGGAGGGGTAACTGGGGACCATTTGGAGTGGGCAGACCCTGCAGCTGGCCTGGGTCCCTCTCCTGGGCTGCACCTCCTTTGCCTTGTTCCCATCAGCACTTCCCTTGCTGAAGCTTTGCTATTTCATTCCTCTGTTCTGCACCTGCCCATCCTCTCTCTGCTTCCAGCATCGCATGATCCCAGGCACTGATTTAGATCCCTCACCCTTCTCTTCTCCACACCGAGGAAGGTCCAGCTCCCTCAGCCTCTCCTGGCCTCACTCCAGCCTGTGGCACACCTGCCATCCCCTGAGGGACTGGCCCTTCCCAAGCCTGGTTTCAGGAGCACTGCCAGGAGCCTTTCCCAAGGATGGAGCTCTAGTTCAAGTCCTGCTTTGCCCCACGAGCGTGGCTGGCTCTGCAGAGCTCCTTGGTCCTGTCTGCCCCACGAGGCTGGCCAGGAGAACTCACACACGCCAGGACTGATTGTCTGGCTGACCCCCAGGGTGCCCAGACAACCGACTTGGCTTCAGGTCCAAGGGGACTCCAATATTTGGAGGCTGCCAGACGTGCTGGCTGGGAGACTCTGGAGGCTGTGTGAGGTGCTCAGCAGCAGGTGGATGGATGGGCTGTGGTAGTTTAGTGGTCTGGTTTAGCATGGTCACATCCATGAGTTTGGATATCTGCCTTCAGGGGAGAGGAGCAGCTTCACAGGACCCCCCAGGGCACATCTGCTGCCATCAGCTCCAGCTGGTTGAAGCAGCCCAAGGTTGTCTGTCAGGAGCTGAGCACCACCTTGGCTGGCTTCCAGGCTTGCCAAGGGAGGCTGGATCTTGTGGAAGGACAGACTGGGGTCAGAGACCAGGACCAGTCACACTGGTCTTACAGCAAACTCCCTGCAGGACGAGGCATCTGGCCCTGAGTCGACTGGGGACAGCAGCTCTTGGCAGTCACTTGTTCATGCCACTCCCCAGCTTTCAGGGAGACACTCACTAGCCAGACTGCTGTGAGAGGGAATCAACCACCAATAGCTCAGGATCTTCTGCCAAGAGCTCTGGAAAGGAGGAGCCCTCACCCAAAGTCACCGCTCAGGGCATGGGATTCCAGT